AAAATGTCACAGTATCGATCATAATCCTGAATTTATCAGCAGAAATCCATGTTTTGAAGTCAGCCAATCAGCGTCGTTCAGCAATTCAGCATTCAGTAAAAAAATTCAGCGTTTTAGTATTACCCATCAAAAAGTGTTTAACGTATGGCAAGTTTAATCGATTAGCTTTTCATTAGCGTTGCAGATAACTAACTTAGTGACTAATATGAATCATACTGTCATCTATTCTGATGAAAAGGCCTATTTGTCGAAAGTCAACCAATAAGGCTTCATCATACGATAGATACAGTTGTTTTTATGTTTTTATTTTTGGTTGTTTCTATACTACACCATTTCTCACTCGGCTAAGCAAAAAGTGAAGTAAAGGGTTATTTATTTTATTTTACTATCTTACAAGTAACATTCATCTACTCATACGATTCACTCGCTCCTTGACTGAAAGAGGATGTGGTAGACAACAGTGTTTTTAATTAGTGGGACAAGCGAGAGCAAAATGGGTTTCCACATCGAATAATGAATTTTCATTGTTTTTCACACTGAGAAAAGTGTATCCCACTTTGCGTTTGAAAATTTCCACTTTATCTTTTTTCATATTTTCTGCCTTACAAAATTAACCCATCGATCTCTGTTTGTTGAACGCCTGTGAGCGAGAGAATCAGTATAATTTCTGTTTAATTCTCTAATTTGCATCACAATACGATATGGCTAGTGTCTGATGATTAACATCAACAGGATATTAGTCAAAAAGGATTTGTGACTTCTATCTAAACGTAGAAAAGTTTTGCAGCGTTTCTTTTTCTTCAGAAATGTTCAACTTACAGCTATTATTTTAGTTACATTTTGTTTTAGATGAGTCGTCTAAGATGTTTGTTGTTAAATTTGTGGTTGATCAGGGTAGAGAAGTTAATTTCGGTCCATTTAACCGACAGTGATAAAACGAAACCCCGATAATGATAAAATAAATCTCTTTTAGGCACTATTAGACAAAAATTTCAACTGTTTCCATTTTGCCCATTTTACATTTCTTATCAAAGGGGAAACTCCCATTTTGACGCTCACGGCAAAGTGAAAAGTTCCACTCTGAAAAAAATTCCTAATAAAAACACTGCTAGACAACTGAGTGCTATTCCTTTATTTTATAGACAAACCACGTACTGGAAGAGGGAAGATATCTTTCTCCTTTCTATTCATTGTGTTGAGAATAATTCGTTCATCAGTGAAAAAGATTTACTTTTTAATATTGGTCTGAAAGATCTTCCTGATAACTCGGCTTCGATGAAATCTCAAGGGTGAAAATCAGCACCACATAATGGTTGAACAGTCTATTTCTACATGTGTTTTTATTTAATATTTTCTTATTGATAATGTTGATAAAAATACACAGTTGCTCGCGTGTCTTTGTCTGATTATTTACTTATGGAAAAAAAAATCTCATACTAACTCGGAACGAAAAATTAATGCCCCCTGACCCTGGAGGTAGTCAACGTGCTTAGTATATTCTGCCTGCTACCGTGCCGCAGGAAGCTCTTTTCAGTTGTATTTCTGTCTTTAGGAGCGAAAATGTAGAAGTGTTTATAGTGGAATATGTTTATTCTAGATCATTTTTACTCAGTTATACCAGCATCATGCAATCGATTTTAAAACTTTGTCCACGAAGGTAATATAGGCTCTTTTGGACAGAATACCCAAACTTTGTTGAATTGGTCTTTTGTTTTAGTTGCATTCCGTTGATCGCTCGTCTTAAACACACATTACCTGATTTACCATATGATTATAATGCATTGGAACCTGTAATCAGTGGTGAGATAATGAAATTACATCATCAGAAACATCATGCAACATATGTTAATAATTTGAATGCTGCCGAAGAAAAATATAAAGATGCACAAGCTAAAAGTAAAATAATCACATTTCTTCGCTTTTTTTTTCTGAAATATTAATTTTTTTAGATGATCTCAGTACACTGATTCATCTTCAACCATCACTGAGATTCAATGGCGGTGGTCACATTAATCATGCTATATTTTGGCAAATATTATGTCCAAAGCAAGGGTTAGTTTATACCATTTTTTGTTTGAAATAAAATTCTTTTTTAAATTCTCTACATTGTAGTGGTAATCAACCATCTGGCGAATTATCAGAAGCAATTACACGTGATTTTGGATCATTAGATAAAATGATACAACAATTATCAAATGCTTCAGTAGGAATTCAAGGATCAGGTTGGGGTTGGCTTGGTTTGAATAAACAGGAAAATAAATTACAAATAGCAACATGTGCCAATCAAGACCCATTACAAGCAACAACTGGTAATTAATGTTTTAGATTTTTAATAATCAAATAAGACTAAAGTTATAAAATTTTTATTTAGGTTTAATTCCTCTCTTCGGCATCGATGTTTGGGAACATGCTTATTATTTACAGTATAAAAATGTGCGAGCTGATTATGTTAAAAACATATTTAATATTGCCAACTGGAAAAGAGTAGAAGAAAATTATCAGAAAGCAAAACAAAACTAACAAATAGTCCAACAAAAAACTAACAATAATGGATTCACTTTTTTTTCGTAACTCTATTCATACACTATGAGTGTCTAATTTTTTTTTTCACAGATTTATTTGTCCGTTCTCGATCGATATAATTTATAGACCTAGTATTTTTATGATAAAGACAATTTGTATGTACTTTTATTACCGTATGAAGTTAGATTAAAGTTTTTAGACCGATCTTTTATAATAAACAAGCGTAAATAATAAACATCTATCAGTTTGAAACTCAATAGTTGTTTTCCATGAATAATTTATTGAACCACTATCGTTGTTGGTTGGAGAAAATGACGTTACTGCCACTGTAGTATAATCATAAATAGAATGTCGTTTCTAGTGTAGAATACTTGTCACAGCTGAGTATGTTTGACTTTTGAGCCGTGTGCACAACATTTGTAAAGAACTACTGTATGTTCACTTGAATTATTTGAATAGTTAATTTTCCGTTACATACAGAGCTTTTATTGAAAACACTTAACAAAGGAATGTACACATAGAAATAGGCTATACACCTAGTCTAAAAAAACACGAAAAACTACAAAAATAAAAAACTGTGAGCGAAAAAAAACTAATTTTAATGTTCGGGTCCTTTTGGAGTTAGTAATTTTCCAGTTTCAATAGCTTTTTCTAACTGTATCTGCTCTTTTGATTTTCTAAATGTTCTTCTATACCAATTTTGGAATGCTTTAATAATGTTTTTGTAGCCCAGACCATCGGGTGCGCCTCCTTTACGATGATCACTAACTGCCCATAATTCATTGGAGTGACGTCTTTCTATCGCTTGAACTACGCAACCTTGAATTTGAAAAAAGTGCCAAATACCAATGTATAGTATGTAGTTATGCTGTATTTTATGTATATATTTACCTCCACGAAAACCACTCATAGTATGACCTTTCGTTAATAAACCATGTACAACATTCTAAATAGAAAAATATTAATTTTATTTTTAGTTTTACAGTCTATTGAGGGAGAAAAAGTACATACAACGGGAAAACGTTTTTCTAATTCCAATTCCATCGGTATTAACTGCTGATGTATTCTCGGCATGTCAACGGCATCTACTAAATTTTTTCCTAACCACAAATTATAAATTGCTACCTAAAACAGATTGAAGAGATTTGAATGGATATAATTCATTTTTATTTTGGACAAGTATAAATACCTGAACTACGGAAGAAATAATTCGACTTCCACCTGATCCACCTGCTGTAAACACGACTTCTCCATTATAATCTGTAATTAATATTGGTGACATTGATGACATCGGTCTTTTAAATGGTTTTATAAAATTTGCAGGTGATGGTGCGTAACCATAATAATTAGCACGACCAGGACTCGAAAAATCATCCATTTGATTGTTATAAATAATTCCTAAAATTAGATAATATTCAATTGCTGAGATTAATAATCATTTAATATCTTTATTTTATTTCCTACCCGTCTTTTTTCCATAAACAAACGCTCCAAAACTAAAAATTGAAAAAATCTCTTTTTATTTAATTAAAAAAAATTTATCTTAGATACACTTTGTTTGCGTCTCTACAACCGAATCAATAATTTTAAAATTTATTTCCATACTCTGTATTAATTGTACTTGTTGCTGCCACAGCGTTACCATTTAAATCAATAACAGAACAATGACTTGTACCGTGATCTAAATACTCCGTATATAAATTTAATTATTTATTTATTGATATGAACCCATTTTATTTTGTTACCTGTTTGTGGTTCAAATTGAGGTTCATAATATTTTAAATCTTGTGCTTTATTTTCATTGATTTTTTTTCGAATACATTCAGCATAATCTGGTGATAGAATCATTTTAAGTAACTAGAATTTTTTTAACAAAAAATAATACAAGTCTTGTATATATTAGTAATCATTTATAATTCTTAAATTAATATTACATTGGCCATATCTTGATTTTTTTCAGTTTGAGAATCGTATTCATCACCAAGAGCCGATCGCTTTCCATAGGCAAATTTGAATACTTCCGTCAATATATGATAAAATTTCACTTGTTTTTCTGCACTATCTAAACTTTGTGGTGTGAGTTTATATCCTAAACAATACAGAATAAAATATCTATACATCTTTTTGTTTAGCTTTTCATCTTAATATTACTTACCGTCCATTACTTTTAGAATCAGAAGAGCAATGGCACTACTGGCAGGCGGTGGTACCTTAAAAAAGGAAACATATTTTATTAACAATGTTCTATGTTTATAGTGTGAAGAAAACTCTTACTCCATATGCGGTATATCCTTCACTTAATTCAACTTTAATGGCATCTTTTACACGAGCATGATACGTGAGTAAATCTTCTTTGGTGATTATACCACCGTTCGATTGTATTTCTTCACAGATATGATCAGTTAATTCGCCTTCATAAAATGACGATGGTCCTTTCTCAGCTATAATTCGAAATGTTTGAGCTAATCGTGGACGATACATTGTATCACCGAGTTGATAAACATGATCTGAATCACCTTTGAAAAATACATGTCTAAAAAGATAGAAAAAATATAACTGTAGACACAGATTCTTTACGATATTATAAATTTTTTTATCATTTTTTTAAACTCATAAAAGATTGCTTACTGAAATGCTTTATTTTTTGCAAGTTTTTCTTTATGTTTTTGTAATGTAAAGGCGAGCGGTCGTGCAATTTTAAAGCCTCCTTCACACATATCAATTGCTAAAATATAAAATATAGTGACAATATACAAAAACAGTGTTGATAAAAGAACATACCGGGCTTAAACAAAGCGGACCAAGGTAATTTACCGTATTGTTTATGAGCTTTCCAATATCCAGCAATTTCTCCTGGAATACCAATCGCTAATCCGCCTAGAAGGGATAAGAATGATCAGTGTACAGTTTGATAAACAAAAGTAGTATGAGTAGATTACATGAAGAAAATCTGTAAAAAATTAAATAAAAAGATTTGTTCTTATTTGATTATACCTTCGAAGGAGGATATATTTTTTTCACCGACAAACATTCGTTGGTGAGCTTGTCCAGGCGCTGCTTCTCGGGCATCGATTGCCAAACATTTTCTTGTCGCACTGTAAACAGGATAACACGAGTATTCAGAATGATAAAATTAACAATCTGAGTGATCCTGAAGACGCTTATCCTTAAACTTACAAGTCATAACAATTCATGATGAAACCACCGCCAATTCCAATCGAGTGACAATTGTGCACACCGACGCATAATAACACCGCAATCGCTGCGTCAACAGCTGAACCACCCAAATTCAATATACGCCTACAGCAAAATGGAAAATATGCATAAGCATTCAGCGTTAAAGAATGAACATGTCTATCTCTGTACTATTTTAATGTACAAAATAGAATAAAACGCTCAGAGCGTTATGCCTTTTGTTCTTACTTCACTTACCTTCCGGCTTTAGACGCTTCTTCATTATCAGATGCAACAGCTCCGTGTCTACACCGAGCAAACGATGATTCACCTACGAAAAAAAGGAAATTTATAATTAAAAAAATATAATTCGCATATATTAGCTAGTAATGACCTTCAAAACCATAGTTCTCTACGCCAGGCAGATCGATCTGAAATTCTAGAGATAAATTTATCTGATAGAATAATAGTCTTATTTATGAGTTTGATAGTTCATACTCGGTGGTTGTGGATCTTGAAAACATGCTCTTGTTGTTGAAAATGTCCGAATATCGTTGATCTAAAAGTCAGTAATATTAAGTTGGTTAGTGACACAGTTAAAGATTAATTAGCTTACAGAAAAAAAGGACTGATGAGTTAATCTATTTTCTAAATGGCGTGACGATAATCGAAATGAGTTGATTATAACAAACATATTATACGAGTAAATAGCAAATAATCGTTATTATACGATAATAATTTTCTGATCATCTTTGCGTAATGAATCAATCGTTATGGTATGAACGTTCATGAATACGATATCATTGATAATAACTGTCACTATCTAAAAATAGTAATAAAGAAAAGAACGCCTATCAAAGAACAAGCTAACATTATTTCATAGATAGTTATTTTTTTCAGAAAATAAGATATTTTTTCTATGGTTTTTATTCTCAACATAACATGCAGACAAAGTTTTGTAGACTGCTATCACTATCTACAAATACACATAGCTATCATTAAATTATATGGACTTTTCTTTCTCTTTTCTACTTTTTCTTTTACAATGAAGGACGACACTGTTTTATATGTGTGAATGGCATATACAATCAATGCCACAAAAAACAATAGGAAAACGAGTATTTCGTGAGTTAAGGACGCAAAATATCACACACTTGGTGCTATATCATAACAGATTTGGAATTTACACATTTACGGGAGCGAAATATACCTTTCAAGGATTTTGAATGATATTTTTAAATTACTCTGCAATAGCTGGGAGGTAAAACGTTGAATCCCTTATTAGGCACGATATATTTATTGCAATTAGTGTGGAAAAATGTAAACTTTGATAGATAGTTAGTGATCAAACAAATGTTTTTCAATAGATACTATGGAGAGGAAAAGAATGACAAATTAGGTAGTCAATTAAAAATATCTTTAGGATGAGATCACATCACTCTTTCTCATTTGGAAATTCTGAGATACAATGCGAAGAGTTAAAGATTCTTAAAGTTTTAAAAGATGAAATTATTAGCGCAAATAAACATTTTTCCTCCGTACACCAAGCAGTTCAGCCCGCAATTAGAACAAGGAAGAACTTACGAAATATTTTGTCGTATGAAAATCAAACATATTTGTTCTAATACTTATTCAGCCCCTCACATCACATTATTAGCTATGTAAACTCTAAGTGACAACATAGATACCTGTAATAAAAAGAGTTTATCTACATTTTTCTAATTAAACTTTTGATCCGCTTTTTTTCGTCAATACATGATAAAAAATATATTGCCAAGAGAAAAGAAAAAAACTAGCGTATCTCGATTTCTTCGATCCAGTTCTTTTCTTTTTGTATAGAAAAAAAAAAATGTTTCCGTTGTGCTGGTTGTTTCACCATATAAAAATCTAGTTATTTTTCTCCCTCATACAACAACAATTCACTTCTTTGGCCTTGTAGACTGCAACTTACTCATAATAACTTAGATTTATTAATATTGACATGTATTTTTAACGTTTATTGTACCGTTATTTTGCTTTCATGTCCCTCGAATGATAATTCTTTAAGTTACTATGAAGCGATACAACGCAATACTAATGAAAACAAAATCTATAACATCCATCGTACGGTTGTACAAATCGATTGTTTATCAGAATAACTATGATGTCTAAATATATCAGCGTATTTTTATATATCGAGATATAAGTATGGTTGCGATAAAAACATGTACCTTAATTCATCTCGGCAAAGTTCTTTCGCGCTTAATCGAGATACTTGGAATATCGAGATAGTTGCAGCATTTATTGAGATTATATTCAGGAATAATTTTTATTTTCCCATTCACACTGTCCATTGACTGAGAGCATCCTTGAAGCATATGGAAATAAGAATGTGTAAAGTGTGATGGTTATAGAACAGGTTTGGCCGAGGAGTTGCCGGATCAAAACTTATAGTTTTATAGCGTGACGTCTTTTAAAGTTTGACGAGATATTTACACTTATAAAAAATGAGAGTGAACTTAAAACTAAACGAGTATATTTGTGTATATGAGGGTGCGGGTGAGGTGTTGGACTTCAAATGATGTAATATAGTCGAATTATGCCTCATTTAATTAGGAAACATAAATGAAAAGGCGAATCGAAGAAAATAAATATAGCATTATCGAGTTTCTGGATACACGTTTGGAAGATGAAGATGCGTAGGGTGACTGAGTTTTGCGTCTTGTTACATAAAAATGTTCGTGACTTGAAGGTACCCTGCCTCATGACTCCGATACCCTTCTGGTGACTCATAAATACTTTTCGATTGCGCACAATTGTCACTGAGGAATGCAATTTATTCAACTCTAAATATAAAAACCTGTACAAGATGCATATTCCATATCTAAAATTTCGTAATAATAGAATGATATTGACGATGTCACCAATTAAATATTCCCATTCTGACATTCTTCTAAATTTAGCTTAAAAAGAGATCTAGGTTCTCCTCTATGGACCTTGGCCTGGTTCTATGTGTGACCTAAAACTGACCTGACCTGTAGAGTAGAATAAAGTTGACCTGTATATCGAAAAGTAAACTTCAAGAGTTTGATATTTGATCTAAGCCTGTAATCAAAAGGATTGGTACTGGAATCAAGATGTGTTGAAACTGAGTTCTACGTTAAGAAACAGATACTCAGACAAAAACATAACACGAAAGCGAATTCAAGAGTATAACCACTTCCTTTCAGTTAATGAAATATCGTTTTATCCTAAAATATTTCGATACCTTTTGTATCGAGATACTTGTAGCATTTACCGCGATATAGTTTATATACTGTGAAATGTGTGGAGAGTGACAAAGGATCTGTTAATATTTTTTGCACGATGGAGACACTTTTTTTATACATCTTCGTGGAATTTATTGTAATGAGAAGTTTTGCGCTTAGAATGAAAAGAAATAGAACAGATAAAAATTAATTCAGTGAAAAAAATTTGTATTCTCTTCGCTCAATATGTTTGTGACAGAATTCTTAATTGATATATTCTATAAGTTGTTTGAGCGATGAAAATAAGATTCAGTTATGTACACGTATGGTTACGGTAGATAGATATCTTGAACATGCCAGCTATTTATTGTCGTTTCTCTTGAATGGATTCGGAACAATAAATAATCATTATAAACTAGCTGAGAATGTGACCTAAGAAAAGCCAAGAAGAAAGTATAGAGTACTAGCGGAGGTACCCGATGTAGAGTGAGTTGCCTTGAACTTTTCCATCTTTAACAGGACCTTCCCCGCCGTGCATAAATTGAGATGCTTAGTCACACCGACTATATGATGTGAGAATTTAGTTTA